CATACAAATTTATGTACGGATCTATATGCTCTGATTGGAACTGGAAGTTCCAGAACAGGCGGCTGGTATACCGACCATAACTGAAACTGCCCCTTTTTTGCTTTTTTTCTGGATAGGATTTATGTTGGCTTCGTCGGGAGGCTCGCGTAGTTTGTTACGTCAGCTAAAAAAGGAGAAGTTGCGTTGGAAGTGAATTAGATTGCCAAAAGTTTGTCATAATTGCATAACAAGGAGTAAAGGAGAAATACCATAGGAAATGTCCCTAGGAAGACTCAAAATCCAATTAGCCCCTTTCGGACAACTACTATTATTCGCGCACCTACCATTAGCGCATCCACCGACTACCAGCTACAGATCGTACCATAGCTACTGTTACGGACGGACAAGGAACAAGAGAAAGAGACGGCGAGATATTATAAAAGTAGCGACTACTATTCCCACTAACTAGAGGAAGCAGCTATAACTACCTTTCCATCTCATATATATGTGAAAGGACAAGTTGCTTATCGACAAGCCAGGAATCGCTGAAGGTAACCATAGGCCGACTGCCCAGAGGGCTTTGGAAGGCGATTGTTAAGGAACGACTTTGGAAGCGACTGAAGCGAAGCTTATTGATAGAAAGGTATGGAAAAGAAGGCGATGGGTATTCGACTAGCGGCGGGTCGATCTTATTGACTGCGATCGAGTTGGTCCTTACTTCTACGTACCATAAATCGACAAGATCGGAACGGCATGATAAGAAGAAATACCAATCGAACCTCGCAATAGAAAACTTGAAGTATAAGGATACCAGTTAGGTAAGCCGACAGTCGCTTCATTACCGAGACATCCATCGTTGCCTGAATGGAACATCGCGTTATCGCATGCTCGTTCACTTTGTTCACCCCCCTCGCTAAATCAATGACAAGTAAACAACCTCGCACCTTTTTTATAGCTCTTTCAGTATAAGTCTGAACTTCGTTCGCCTTCCTATCATACTTTAGCTCCTTATCAGTCGAGCGAAGCTAAGCAAGCTTCATTATTGTTCAGAGCGTAGCAAGCGAAGCCTTACTTTATATCAGACAGTCGCCCTACATTTTCTCAGGGAATCCGGTAATGGGGTTGAAGGTAATTAGAATCAATTGTCGAAAAGATGTGATTAGAAAGTAGATTAAGGGACGAGCTAGGCCGAGTTCAATAGGCAAAACTGGTGTTCGAACTCGAAATTGCATTTTTCTTAATGGTCAGCTTCATTAGTACCCTTTCGGTATGCGTTGCGAGCACTTGCATTTTAAGCGTGCCGCGACATTCAATTTAAAGGAAAGAGCGATGCCTACTTCATCCTCACAAAACACTTCGGGGGTGGATTTTGCCCTTCCCGAACGAGATCCCCACGGATTTCCATCAAAATGCAGATATCATTAGTAGGATGTCTTCGTATATTGATGAAGATATATCTCGGGGTCCTGAAGTTTTGGCGAAATACAAGTTAGAAGGCATGGAGGATCCAGAGATCTTTGCTTACTTCTCTATAAAAGGCCGCCAATTATTGGATTGGGTATTATCTAATATAGGATTTGGATCCAGGTGTCCTTTCCCCGTCCAAAATTATGACAACCCCCTACTTATTTTTCATACGAAAAAGAATATCGTCCAGAGAATGTTGGAGCTCGACCCGGACCCATTTTGGGTTTGACAGCGAACCAACCTGATTGGGGAATCTATCCTCAACAGGCGTTCGGGGATGTCTAAGGATTATCTATATCCAACCCTTTCTGGGAAGCTTAGGGAGCTGTACGGTTCCAATCCCACAGGATCCCAGTTCTTCGAGGAGATGAAATTGAGAAAAGAGGATTTCTGTGAATACGGTACCTTTAATCGACAATTGATAAGACAGATTAAAGGGTTCACAAATAGCGTTTGTGATGCAGCGGAACCATGGCAATTAGGATCTCAAGACGCAGCAACGTCTACGATGCAAGGAATAATAGACTTACATCACGATATCTTTTTCTTCCTCATTGTGATTTTGGTTTTCGTATTACGGATCTTGGTTCGCGCTTTATGGCATTGAAACTATAAAAAAACTCCAATCCCGCAAAGGATTGTTCATGGAACTACTATCGAGATTCTTCGGACATAAGTCAGTCTATCATCCTGATGTTCATTGCTATACCATCATTTGCTCTGTTATACTCAATGGACGAGTCCGTAGTAGATCCTGCCATTACTATCAAAGCTATTGGACATCAATGGTATTGGACTTATGAGTATTCGGACTATAACAGTTCCGATGAACAGTCACTCACTTTTGACAGTTATACGATTCCAGAAGATGATCCAGAATTGGGTCAATCACGTTTATTAGAAGTGGACAATAGAGTGATT